ACACACACACACACACACACACACACACACACACACACACACACACACACACACACACACACACACACACACACAAGTTTCTGACATAAAATTTTTGATACTTATTTTTCATCATTCAGAAAAACTATTTTAACAGCAGTATCTTTTTTTAACCTCACAAAACCTACAAACACAACAGCAAAGACAGTCTTACCTGAAGAAACCATCATCAACAGGATCAAAGGTCTGTAAAACTGCATTGTGAAAATTATAGTTATCTTGTTGTGAGGCAAGACTGGAGCACAGATTTTCTTTTCCCTCTTTTTATACTTTCAGTACTTGAAAACATTTACATTTCTAGAGAAAGCCTGTTCACCACTGGGCTGCATGACAGCAGTCCAACCTCGTTTTCTGAGAAAAGCCCAGGATCCACACAGGAGTTTAAAACAAGTAAAGAACTGTTGTTTTGACTTATATTACATCACATCTGCCAGTTAATTAAATTTACTAGACATAATTCACTCATCATACCATAATGTGCTGTGAACCACAGGCCTAATTAGGACAATAGGTCTAATTTAGAGTTTGGAAAGTTACCTCGTTCTTTTGTATTTCAGCTTCATCTTTCCCTAATGCTTCATAGAATAAACTGATCGATGGGAACAGAGAAGTCAGAAGTCCCCTACCTCCATTGCTCCTTAAAGAAAGGCTATCCTCGATAAAGCTGTCCTAATTTAGAAGTTCAGTCAAAAAAGGGCAAGTGGTGGCTTCCCTGCAAGTTCTATCTGTGACTGAACTATCTTTGCTTCAGAGTCTGCCTCGCGCTGTGTTGTCTCTGTCCTTCTGATTCGGGTCTTTCAGGGAAAAGCCACACCTCACCCCATCTGAGACTGCTTTTATTCTTCAACCATTTCTGTGGAAATGACATAAGACTCTCCTCCCTACTGCTTATTGTTTAATCTGTTTAAGGATAACGACTTCCGTCTGGCCTTCCTCTGGGAACCCCTCTTGACTTCTCCAGTCCTCGCTATCTCACATCCAAACTGTCCTCTGTTCCTCTCTAACACACGAACAATGTTAAAACACGACATGTGCTTATTTTCCTTAAACATTTTGATTATAACATTAGGATTATAACAATCGAGTTTAACTGTAAGTGTAAAACATAAAACATCTGATTAAAATGTAAAATATTTGATTGCATTTCACTTAAAGGGGACCTATTATTCAAAATTCACTTTTTACATGTTTTATAACCTTGTAAAGCCTAAGGTGAGGCCAGCCTCTCATCTGGTAAGCCAAGCAGAGATTCCACCTACTTCATTACAGGAAGACCACATTTGTTCTGCTATTTTTACGACAGACACGGAGAACAGAGATGCATATTGCCAAAGAAAGTTGTAGTTTGTGTAAACAATTTCACGATGGATTCCTTTGAAAACTTCTACCAGCACACAGCAGGATTTACCCAAGGACTTTCAGCTGAAGGAAACTACTGTCCCTAATGTTCCTCACAGATCTGCAGATGATGGCGGTAAGTGATGTGTTGTGTTTAGTGTTGCTGTTTGGCATGAACGTGATCTGTAAATTTAGCACAAACTAATGTTAAACAATAGCGCGTGGCTGTGATCAACAACCGAGGAGGCGAGCAGCTTTGAGACCCTGCAGCCCCTCTGTTTGTCTTTCCTCCTCCACAACACCAGCCTCTGGAAGAGGCGACGGACACGCGTTGGCCTCCCCGGGCACCAGTGTGTCACTACCAAGCCCTCGCCCCAGGTGGCCACAGGGCGCATTGCCTGTCAACATCAACCATTCTGAAAGGAGCTCAGAACAGGCGGAACTGACCAGGTGAAATCTTATTATGTAAATTAATTTTGTTTACTAAATCTAATGAACATGTTTTTTCATAGCCCACAGATGTTTCCTAACTTGTTCAGGGAACCATAACAGGCCTCCTTTAATCCCTTTACTGTAATCACACAGAAATCATCTTTTCCCAGCAGTCTTCACAGGATTTTTACAACAGTCTGAACCAGTGTTTCCCAAAGTTGGGGTCGGGACCCAAAGTGGGGTCCCGAAACATCAAGGTGGGGTCCTGAAAAGATTTTCGGAATTAATTACATTTTTGCCGTGGTTGTTACAAAGGAGTCAGGTTAGTATATTTAAAATGGATAAATGTAGCATAAAAAATATTGTTACTCTGCCCATGTTTAGTTGACCTGATACAAATGTTTATCATCCAAAAATAGCTGGGGGCACAGGTCTCTGCTACTGTTATTTTTTGGGTCAAAAGGTAAAAAGTTTGGGAACCACTGCACTTTGGTTCCCAAAGTTGGGCTTTGACCCAATTATGGGTCGTGAAGCACCTTGGATAATCTCCAGAAATCAATTTAAAGGGTAATAAAATAATTGTTGATGTAATATTTTCCTTATAACTATTACAAAAACACAAAATAAGTATAAATAAGTATTTATATTTGTGTACAAGCTGTTTAGATTGTCAAAAAGCCTGTGTTTTTAGGGTTATTAACAAAATTCATGTACTCAGACCAGTAATATTTGGGGTCACAAGTTTTTGCCATGGATACTTTGTGGGTCAGAAGATAAAAAGTTTGGGAACCAGTGGTCTAAACAACAGCGAATCAACATTTCATTCAACTTTTTAGGATAACATGCTGATTATTAACAAACAAGTTCAATCATTCATATCATTTAATTAACATTAAAACATTAACTGCATCAAAACATTTACTGCAATCTTCAGCCATTATTTCATCTGCTTCTGATGACTTGAAACAGATGAGTTAGGTCACTTGACATAAACATCTTTTGAGCAAAATGTTTGTAGCTAAAAGTTGAAACATTGGGTGGTTTTGTGAAAAACAAAATCAAGTCTGAACAAGATATTTGCCAGAAACGATAAATAAATGAACAACCATTAATTGTGAGATGTTTGCTGTTCATATTAAACAACATATGTTTTAAAGGATTTAGCAGCTTTTCAATAAGACATTTCAAAGTAACATTGGACAGCACATATAACACAAAGTAGTCAAATATCTCATTTACATTCATTTTTTGATTTATTTACTGAAATGTTTCAACAGTTAGAAAGTCCCACCAGACCTCCCATAAATATTGTTACACTCACCTCACCCAGAAGTTGTTGTGGGAAACAGATTAATTTAAGTTGAACATCATGAGCTGGAGCACACAGACTCAGAAATGTTGTCTTCAGAGTAAATTCAAATATGTAATATCTGAATAACTGGTAGAAAATGTGCTTATTTATTCTGGCAAACCAAATGTTACTGAGCCCAATTGTTACTCCCTAAAGTATTCACACACAACTGTGGCTACTATGATCAGAAATATCCAAAACACAGAAGGATATTTGGCTTGAAAAATTTACATGAATATGTCCCTCTCTTTATAGTTTCATTTAATTTGTAGTTTCTGCCTAAACAGTTATCAACATACTGCTAGGTCTTTTGTGTAAATTCATAAAATGTTCAAATTTATTATTATATAGTTTTTATTATTCAGCTCATTTTACCACCATTCTTTGGTTCAAATGTACTGTTTACTGTACGATTCATAGTATTTATCATTGAGCTTATCTTGAACATGTCAGTGTAAAAATAATTATAACACACTTTGTTCATGCTTAAAATTTGTTTATTTCTTCTTCAGTTTTACAGACAGTCAAAAAATAGAATAAATTAATACAGAAATAAAATGCCACAAGACAAGTCATGACAAGAACTACAGTTGTTAAAAATGTTTTACAATTTATTTTGAATCTTTCGACAATTAGTTTTTCATTTCAAAATCCTCAGATAAAAAGTGTGGAGAGCTGAAGCCACTAGCAGCAGGACGACACTTGGACCTGCTGCTACTCCACTGTTACATAAGTCTCCTTCACAGCAGGAAAAAAGACTCACGCAGGTTGCACTGTGCAGGCAGCCTTTGGAAACCAAACCTTTAAACCAAGATAGAAAAGTATTGGAAAAATACAATATGTTGATGTATTATAGTGGTTTAATTTTGTAATTGTCATGTTGTCTTGAACTCCTTACACAACCCCTGGCAAAATGTATGGAATCACCAGTCTTGGATGAGCACTCATTCAGACATTTCTGTAAAACAAACTCAGATCAAAAACATGATACAATAATAAGGTCATTCCAAAGTGCAACTTGTTGGCTTTCAGGAACACTCAAAGAAATGAAGAGAAAACATTGTGGAAGTCAGTGAAAGTTACTTTAATTGACCAAGCACAGGGAAAAAAATATGGAATCACTCAATTCTGAGTTCATCTGTGGCCACCATTATCATGCATCAGTGTGAATGTGTGCATGAAAGGATGAATGACAAAAAAAAAAAAAAAAAAAAAAAAAAAAAAGAGCAGCACAGTGGCTCAGCTGGTAAAGCTGAAGCCTCTCATTATCAAATCCCAGCCCAGGGGACCTTTAGAGTTTGCAGCAAATAATTTAATGTGAAGATATGAAAATGTTGTTTACAAGAATTGAGCAAAGTTTTTTGCAATGCTGCTCTCTAGTGAGGCCATGATTCTATGACACATTTTATTAGACTTCTCTGTTTTATCAGCATCAAGATGCATTTATTTAGTGTAATAACTTCAATAAGATTTTTCTTGTGTAGTTTTGGTGCCTGTTTAAGCTGAAATGTGATTTATTTTAAAAACAATGACAATCTGTGTTTTTAAGTGTTTTGTTTTTCTTAGTCATTACACTTTATTCTTGTTGATTCCATATATATTTGCTGGTTCATAAAATGTGGTTATGCTGAAATTTTGTCTGTTGACAGTTTATTTTAGTAGCAGTGAGTACAAAACACTGTATATGTTGAAAATTTGTTTATTTCCTCTTGAACAAACTGAATCAGAATAATTAAGTGATAAAAACAATCAAAATCCAGGGCTTCATGTAAAAATAGTGAAGAGGGCCGAGGACAGCAGCAGCAGGACGACACTCAGACCTGTTGGTACTCAACTGTTACACAAGTCTGTGTTACAGCATTTAATAGGATCTCTGCAGTATATGTCAATCATGCAGGCTTTAAGTTGAATACCTGAACCAACAAGACAGAAAAAAACATTAAAATACTGTCAAAATTATCCAAAAGTACTGTTTACAATAACACGTTTATAATACAGCAACTTTGTGATTGCAGAAAAAAACTCACCCTGTTCTTTAACAGTGTAACAACAGTTAAATGGAGAAGAACAAGTGATGACCTCTGTGCAGTTTTCTGGTTGCTGAATGTAGCATGAGTAGCATTTCAGTCCACATGCTGCACAAAAAAATAAATAAATAAAAATTGACACAAAACACCCACAGTTAGTGCACAAAATCCCCTTAATTTAAACACTATATACATTTTTATTTTATTCATTGTTATTTTTTTTACCATCTTATTTATAAAATCTAAAATTCCAAATCATTACATTAAAATCATCCAGAGTGAGGGATCGGAACCAGCAGGACACTAAAGAAACACTTTTCAATCCAAATTCTGACAAACTTTAACCAAAACTTTACATCTCTGGAGTATCGTCTTCAAACACTGACACGCTTTTGTTCTGAAATCACAGACTTGTTTGAAATCTTGTAGATCCTACGACAGTGGTTCTTAACCTTTTTTGAGGTACCGAACCCACCATTTTCGTATGCGCATTCTCCGAACCCTTTTTAGTGATAAATAAAATTATTTTTTTTCCAAATTCAAGACATAGGTATATGTTTTTTTACTGGTGTATAAAATGAGCCGTGCATGAACATCATTCACCTTGCTCAAAGAACAAAACCAACACAGTGCATGAA